GGGTGACAGCTTCTCACTTCCTCTAACTATAGAAGTAGGAGGGAGAATCACCCATCAACATCAGCCCTGATTCATGTGAGGCAGAGCTTAAACATACCTGTACCCTCCAATAGTTTTCCAGTTCTGACACTAGTATCTTTCCCACAGTCCTCTCCTACTCAGCTCATTAATTTTTTTGCAGTGGCCATGTACAAATTACAGTCCAGAGTCACAGGTACAAATTTTATTCAGTAACAGAATGTAATTTTGGATCAGAATCGGTAAACTATGCATTGGCATTCATATTAAAGAACCATGTAGGCAAATTTGCTCTTCTTCAGGACAGGCCTGTTCTTTCTGTCCCTTTCAGACAGTCAGGCCCCTGCAGGTAGGCTTTTTTCACAATTCCATCTCTATAGGTTCCTCTCAGCTCCTTGATTTGCTCTGCAGTATCTCACAAAACTAAATAGCCATCGGGTAAATAACTCTTCAGTATGTGGAAGCTGGTGAATTTCAAATGTCAGGCAGCATACTGTTGGCTCATGGAGTGGAGGAAGCTCTAAAATCAGGGCACACAGGCAGCTCACAGTTGCAGGGATGTCATGGAAATGGCTCATGGATTTCTGGAAGCTGGCAAATCCTTAATCCATTGGTTCATTCTGAACTATGTGGCTGCAGGGGCTAACAAAACCAAATCAACAGATCAGATGACAGGCTAATGTCTCACTGTATCTTCTCAACAATGCCTGCAGGCAGTTCTCTCTCTCCCTCTTGCTCTACCTCTTGGTATGATGGCTTCTTGGGTCAACCTAGCACCTTCCCTGCCTAGGCAAGATTAGGAGGGGCCCCTTGGAGAGCATGTGATGAAAGATGGCAGGCTCAAGAGTACCTTTTAATTAAAGTTAAGTCAATATTGTTCGTAGGTGTCTAAGAAGAATTTGTCCTAAGATTGACAAGAAGAGCTTGTCCTAAGGTGGCTTCTAAGAGCTTCCTGCACTCAGGAAGGGAGATAAACCCTATGAACTTTCTGTTTTGGGGTCTGAATTATAGCTTCTTATTCCTGATCCCAAGTTTTACCTTGTTCATTAATAGACCACTTTGATCTATGAGTTTTGTGTGGCCTTAGCAATGGATTATCAAACCCAGAAGTGAGACAAAGAGTGGTGTGGGACGAACGACTTGTGTAACAATTGACAAAAAATGTTGGAGAGCTGAGGTATGTTTGACCTCCCCCATCTGAACTGTTCCTGATACCTATTGCCACTAAGGGTACAGAGCCTCTTATACTGGTGATACTGCTAGAACTCCTCATTCCATTTCACATTGTACTGTAAACTTGTTTGTTAATATAAACAGGTGTTGATCTACTTTGTGTGAGTATAAATCAGCTATTTCTAGCTCATTCAGATCATCTCACTGGTACTTAAAATTCTAATTTTATGAGTGGGTGGATTACTTTGGTGGCACGAGGGTCCCCAACACTCGAACCTTAGGAGTAACATTGCAATTGTGGCAGATATTAAAAGACAGAGCCGACAGCCAGACACAGGGGCTCTCTTCCCATGCTAGGACTGAGAGTGAATGTATTTTCCAATGGGTATGTATAATGGAGCTTACAGATCTTTCACAAGGCATGCACCTCATGCAGTTAGCATATATACAGTCCACAGGGTAATATCTTAAGTGGGTAACATAACAAACAAACAATGTGAGTCACCATCTTGACCTAACCTGCCCTGAGCCTACCCCAGGCATTTGCTACATTTTATTGTGGACTGGCAACAGAACCTGATTGTTCTAATCTACAGATAACCTTTAAGCATAGTGAAGCAGCCAGGCAGAGAAATGATGCTTCTACTACTGTTTCCCCCCAAATAAGACACTGTCTTA